TAAAATTTTTGGTAGACATTTCTTGCATTACTGACTTTGCCTTCAAAAGGTACTTGAATTCATGTAACTTGGGGCAACTTTATTTAGATGCCATGTAAAGAGAATGAATAATCCAAGTGAAATATCCACACCTCAACAATATAAATTACCATATATGTGCCATCACTTTAACAAAGCAGATTAAGGAACATTATTTTAAATAGTGCATGTGTTTTCTTTTCTTTTTTTTTTTTAATGTGTTTTCTTTGTTTGGTTTTTACTTACTTTTAAATTGTTGTCTTGCCAGGCACTTGAATCCCAGTGACTTTGGAGGCTTAGGCTAAAGAATCACAAATTTGAAGCCAGCCTCTGCACCTTAGCAAAATCCTCAGCTCGGAGGAGATCCTCTCTCAAAATAAAAAAATGAAAATGGCTGAGGATGTAGCTCAGTGGTAAAATGCCCTGGGTTAAATTCCAAGTACCAACAATAATAATAATAATCATAATAATAAATATTGTGTTTTTCAATTTGGACTAGAATACAATTAATATACTATGCATTGTGAATTTGCTATGTGTATGAAAATAATATTGATGGTGCAAATTACTTTAAGTCTAGAATCTTCAACCTGAACTCATTTCTGAGTGGTATAATCTATAAGGATTAAATTTTTCTATGGTTCTCATATGTGTAGTGTCCCTCAAAAGTCCCTGTATTAAGGCCTTACCTCCTGTGGTATTGCTCTTGGGAGGCAGTGGACCTTTAGAAGATGAGGCCAACTGGGAGATAACTTTCAGTCATTGGAGCTATGCCTTCAAACAAGGTTGTGGAACTCCAGTCTCCTCTCTACTTGGCTCCTGCCATTGTGATCTATCACCTTTCTGGAGGCCAACCCAACAGGCCACCAAATCTTGGACTTGAACCTTGAAAACTAAAATAAAGCTTTTCTTCACAAATAGCCTGTCTTGGGTATTTTCTTGTAACATTTTTCTTTTCCTTGAAGCTATCAATGTACATTTTTACCTTGGTCAGCAAGGCTAATTTATTGATATCTTTTGAGGAAAAAAAAGTTAACTAACCTATGAGAGGTGAATAATATAAGAAGGTACAGAAAGATAAATGGATTGATAAAAGTGAAATGTAAGAATTATGTCAACAAAAGATTAGTATAAATTCAGCTTAATGGAAAGTGAATAGCTCAAATTACACTAAAACATACAGGAAGAAAAATGAAAAATCAAAACTACTATTTTTAATAAGGCCTCTTTGTATAAGTTTTGTTATTTTGTTTCTGTAATTAAAATAGAATTAGTCTCCCACCTTTACTATGTTTCTTTCTGATCATGGAGCATAGATATTTAGAACTGAAAGGAACATGAAGAATTTCCAAGTCCACATTCTTCCTCTTGTGCATTAGGAAATAGTCTCAAAGAATGTCAGTGACTCAGGATCACATAGTAGAGTCTGCAATGAAGACCTACTGGGTTACAGTTTACTGCTTCTTAAAATAATAATAACATGACTATTCACAAAGTAAAATTTTGAGTGTATATCTACAGATAATTAGCATATATCCATAAATATGTCCTTAACTGCCTTTGTAGGTTCAGTTTTTTAAAAGATCAGAAGGAACTGATTTCCAACTATTCCAACATAGAATGGTGTTTTCCATGTATCAATACTAGTAGGAAGAACAGAAAAAGTAAATAATGCCCCCACCAAAGATGACCACATGCTAGTTGTTGTTACCTATGATTGTTACATTCCATAGCAAATGACATTTCAGATG